CTCTTTCAATGTGAGGCCCGCGGAGCATATGGCTCATAAAACGACTTCTAGCCTTTTGAGATGCTCGTCAAAAGTTGGGGAAAACACTATGACGTCGTCTAGATAAACTAAACAGGTCTTCCATTTTAACCCTGCAAGTACAGTGTCCATGAGCCTTTGAAAAGTAGCGGGCGCTGAGCACAGACTGAAGGGCAGTACTTTAAATTCATACAAACCATCCGGCGTCACAAAAGCGGTTTTTTCCCGATCTCTTGGGTTTACCTCGATCAGCCAATATCCGCTTCTGAGGTCCATTGAAGAAAAGTAGCGAGCGTTTCGAAGCCCATCGAGGGAGTCATCGATACGCGGAAGCGGAAACACGTTTTCTTAGTCATTTGATTCAGCTTCCTGTAGTCCACGCGAAAATGCAAGGTACTGTCCTTTTTCTTAACTAGTACTACAGGCGATGCCCACGGGCTCTGTGATGGCTGAATCACATCCTCTTCAAGCATTTTGGCGACTCGTTGCTGTATCACTTCCCGTTCCTGTGGAGTCGCACGACAAGGATTCTAATGTATAGGCCTTGCTGCATCCTCGGTAATTATTCGATGCTTTGTTAGCGGCGTTCGATCGACCCGTGATGTCGATGAAAAGCAGTCCTGGAATTCAGCTAGCAGCTCAAAAAGTCTCGTTCGCTCGTCCCTTGACAATGTAGTACCAACGTCAAGATTAGGTACTGATTCTTCTTCAGGTGCTTCGTCTAGTGCTGATAAACTGCCTTGGACTTCCGCAGTATTGTCAAAATAAGCGACGGCTGAACTCTTCGGGAGGTGTCGGCGCTCAGCACTGAAGTTAGAGAGCAGCAAGTTTGTGCGTCCCGCAGTGACGGTGACAAGACCTCCAGCAACTGAAATACCGCGGATAAAGATTGGCGAGCTTATTTGGTCAGCAATACCGTCGCTGTCAATCGGCTCATCTCCTGCCACCGAAACAAGTGTGCACGATCGTGGCGGGACGACCACATCGTCATCCGTCAAACGTAAAGGGTTATGTCTCGGCTCTGAGCAATCGACTAAAGCCGGGCTGATGTTGCGAAACGTAATGACACTATCAGGGTTGTTGATGGCACCATGTTCTCTCAAGAAATCCATTTCGATAATCAGGTCTTTACAGCATGAAGAGAGAACGACGAACGTCGCCACAAAAGTAGAGCCACCGATGTCGAGCCTTGCTGTGCACATTCTGACAGGCATCAGTAATTGACCGCCTGCCGTCCTTAGGTGAGGTCCCATCAACGCTGCCTTTACTTTCTTTAGGCGTACTGCAAGGTCATCACTAATGATAGAGAAGTCGGCCCCGGTGTCGACTAAAGCTCCGACTTGCTGTCTGTCCACAAGAACGGTAAGGTCTGGGGCCACAGTTTCGGCGGTATTACGTCTTGTCTGCTTTACAGCGTCCTGAGGTGGAAGTAATGGGGGCTTTTTTTTCTTCGTCTTGGCAGCCTGCAACCTTACCCCCTGAGGTCGCCCCCTTCAGTTTCACCGGTGTGGGCTGGGTGACCTCTGGTGCCAGCTAAAGTGCGGCGCTACAACGAAAGTGACTGGGCAGGAGAAGGAGAGCGTGGTCGATGTAGGAAGCCCGGCTGGTAATCAGTCATAATCTCGTCATCATTGTTATGACGCTTGTCGAAGGGGGGTGGAGGCACCAGAGGTCCTTGAGAACCGACATCGCCATGGTGGGATACGTAGTCGTTCGCATGTGGACTGTCAAGCCGGGGCCTGAGAGGGCAAAACAGATTGGTGCGGTGCCACCAATAGCGGGATATGTGGCCCACACTTCCACAGTTGAAACAGAGTGGACGCCTGTCGACAGTGCGCCAGGTGTCTGTTCGGCGAAGCTGTGGATGCCGTGACAACTTCTCACGTGACGAAGGCCATGGCAGGCCAGAAGACGACTGGTCGTATGGGGGCTGGATGGGTGGGCGCCACAATGTCTCCCCCTGTGATGGTGACCAAAGAACGGTTGCAGGTGATGGGTAGTATGAAGGCGGAACGGGTGGGAAGTTTCAAAGCGCGGGGCATACGTCATGAGACGTTGCTTGAGGGCAGGATCAGCTGTGGAGAATGCTTGGCGGATTTTGTCGCGGACGACTTGAGCGACAGATGCTATGGGTGTATCCACTACCGGAGTCGACAACCTCTGCAGTTCTTCACGAACAATCTCTCTAATCATGTCACGCAAGGAGCTATGATTGTCAAACGTCACAGCGGCGGCCTGAATTTGGGGGCTGCTGCACAAGCGGTCATATTGTCGGCAGCGTTGGTGAAGCGCCAGTTCGATAGCCGACGCTTCTTTGATGAAGTTCTCTGCAGTGCTTGGCGGGTTGCGCAGAAGTCCGGCGAACAGCTGCTCTTTCACGTCGTGCATGAGGTAGCGCAACTTCCTATCTTCGGTCATCTGCGAGTCAGCCCTCCGAAATAAACGTGTCATGTCTTCGGCGAACATGGCGACTGTTTCATTGGTTTTTTTGGACCCTTAGCTCTAGTAGTTGGTGGGCACGGTCACGTCTGTCGACATTGGCAAAGGTTTCAACCATCTGCTGGTGAAAGTCGGTCCATGTGGACTGGCTGCCATCTCTGTTCTCGTACCAAGTACGAGCACTGTCATCAAGATAGAAGTAGGCCCGGCAGAGCTTTTCCTGAGCCGACCACTGGTTAATCTTCGCAACACGGTCATAGGAATCTAACCAGTCTTCTACATCTTCGTGCGCGCCACCACCAAAGCGTTCAGGCCCCAGCGATTGAAAAAACGTCACCTGGGATGGAGCGGAAGAACCGGTGCCGAGAAGTACAGACTGGGGGCTGGTGCTAGTTATTTCTGATGTCTTGTGGAGAGCTTCTGCGAGGGGTTAAACTCTGGAGGAAGACTTCGTAGCCGACGACTGAATCGATGGACAGGGGTTGCAATAGGTACGTCCGGGCTGGATGAACGACCCCCACTAGAGGTGTGAAGGATCGGGCAGCGTCGCGGCCCAGCTCCTCCACCAGTGTCGCAGTGCGACGCGAACAAAGGATGACAGCAGCTTACGGCAGCGAAAAGAGCGTGTTCAGGATCAGCTGTAAAGCAAGATGCCTGCTTCGTTGTCGTCCTGAAAACCGCCTGTCCCACTAGCTGGAATCTACACAACATTCATATTCCTATCGTCGTTCTTTTTCATATAAACACGAGTCACTATATATATGAACACTCAAAAAAAAAAAGCTGCCCACGCTCGGCACCGAGCTCATCACGATGCGCTGATGCCTGCTTATCTCTCACATGCCCCATGGATGAAGGGGGGGGGGGGGGGGGGGGGGAGTGCCTGTGCGCGTGCACTTATTCTTTGGTGGGGGAACCGTGTGCCTTCGGCTTACACTGAAATGAAAGCGTTAGTTTCCGGGCCCACAAAAGTCACTTTGGTCTCTGCACAGGCCCCTTTGCGAAAACAGTCCGCTTTTCATACAAAGCGAGGTATAACAACTGGGACATTTGTCAATTTGTACTCGTCGGTACCTGTGATTACGTATTGTGCGTCGTTTTTGTTTAAACAGCGCGTTACGTGTCGAGCGGTAAACGTTCATTCGCTCTCGTCCTGTGATTATCGTTTTCGTACTTCATTTGTGTATGAGCAGCGAGCTGCACGTTTCGATCTGCTTGCCATTCTCAGCGTTACATTCCAAGTTGTTGCTGTCACATTTGTTGCTTTGCCCTTGCGGTGAAACTACAATTTTTTTTGTTTTTTACATATTTACTGTTTCACCGCCGCGTGCCCTCGGAGCTCGTGGATTGCTCTCGCGTTGCCGTTACCGCGGTTTTCTGCGCAGTGGTTGCGGCAACGCGAGAGCAAACGGTAGTTCATTTTACAATCCCCATGCGCTTGCCTGCGCACGCGGCTTCAAAACTAAGTTGTTTTATGCTATCTACGATAGCATCTGCCGCACTTTTGTCCGCACAGTTTGCGGAAAGCAGCGTTGCTTTGACTGGTTGAGCGCACACTTTCGTGGTTCTGTCAGTTACGTCGTCGCAACACATCATCGTGCCAAGAGCGACCGCGGTTTTGTCCATAGCGATTGTGGCGACGACAATCACACGCGCTGTAGAAGGCAGAACGTGCACCGGTCGCACTCATACTTCCGAAGCTTCGAGTACGCTGTTCTCGGCCTTCTTTCGACAGTTTCCGTACTAAAGTTCGTATCACCCGCCGTGACTATGAAATGTGTTCGGCACATTCGAATTGAGACCCAATGAACATAGTAAAGTACGGCTGGGGAATTTGAAGAATTCATAACTGCCGCAGTTTTGAATCACTGAGATTATGCTGTACGTTTAGATTAACGCCTCTTAAACTCATTTATAATAAAACTGGGTAGGTTCGAAAAGCCTGGAGCGATTGAGCTGCTTTTTTGTCAATGTGGCCAAATCACGCACAGAAACTTTGATTTCCGGGAGATTTTCATGACAACCGTATAACCGAAAGAAACGGTGAAAATGCGGGAGACTTGGCAGGTATGGCATTGTATCATTAGTGAAAAACAATTGTTCTAACTGACGAGGCTGTACCTCAATAACAAAAAAAATGCACATACAAGTACTTCAGAATCCGATAGTGAACATGCATCATCTACCACATTGAAGTGCATATTCGGATTGCCACAGTAGTATATGTCACATACAGCAACACTCATCCCAAGCCAAGATGACTACATAGAGCATGTCACAAGCTACTATAACTGGCACAAATGATGGCACTTTCAGCCAATGGCAATATTGCAGCCGAATTTTAAGCCATTAAAGTATATCAACAAAAGCAGCATGCTGAACACCCGTGAAGAGCAGAAAACCTCATGCCACAACTGCATGGCATTCAAAAGTTCAGATGCATGGGTTCCTGACAAGGTATGCAGCAACCAATATTGATTAAAGGCCACAATTACAATAGGAATGATCGTATTAACATTAATTACAAGAAAAACAATGTTCACCTTCACAGAAGACCACCAGCAAATTCATCATCAGATTCTGCAGCAGTTGTTGAATCGGGAACTTCAAGATGGTCTTGTTCTGGTCTGTCAACAGTTCCATTGTCCACATCCTTTGCATCACCCACGGCCTCTGCACTCGGCTTAGACTCGGAGGCAGTCTTTTTGGCAGACTCGGCTACTTGCTGCCCAAGCATCCTGGCCAACTTGGCATACTGAAATAATTATGCAACATTGGTGCAAAACATGCCATGAGCTTTCTTAAAGGGCCAGTAAACAACCCCGATGTCCAAAAATTATAAAGATATAAATTACCAGTGGTGTGTCAAGTTGCCCATGGTTAAGCTTTCGTCACTGTGTGTACGTAGATTGACCAGAAGGAAAAAGGCACGAGAATTGTTTTTTCGAAAGGGGGAGTTTGCAGAGCGCTATAATATTTGGAAAATGTGATCATTGTTGTCTACTATACAAATTGGTGAGCTTGCTTGGGGATGTAAAAAAAAAAAGTCAGTCTGTTTACTGGCCCTTTAAGTACATGTCTTAATCAATCTTTCAATTACCTCTGTATCCATGTGCCGAAGGAATGGTGCATTGAGAGCACGAGTAACCATATCTGGGTCTCCTTCATCATACCCTTTCAGTAAGCATGAAAGTGTGTCCAGTTCTTGTGCTTCAAGAAACCTGCGCACGCAATTTTTGAGTTGCAAGTGAGCACCAGGAAGGTTGTTTTTGCTCACCCTTTATCATAGTCAACAGCCTTACTGGCTGCAACAAAGTCGTCTCTCGCCAAGTGCACAAGCACCAGTGCCACCACCAGCCGCCCGACAGCCCGGTCATCCTGTGCTTCTGCCAGCAACTGCTTCTGCCGAGACACGGCGTCCGCTGCCTCATCCCATCTAGTCAAAAGGGATATGTGAAGCACACATTCTCATGAGGCAGTTAGTGCAGCACGCATAAGCCGAACAATAGTGCAGTATTATGTGGGCATAAAAACACAAGGAGGCATATGACAGTGCCTGACCTAGCAAGCTTGAGCAGGAGACGAACTGCATGGCCACAGAATTCTGCTGATTGCCTTGGGCGATCTTCAACCTAAGAAAAAAGTGTTTAGGCAAGTTGAAAGAATTGGCGGCAGATTAGCCTCCCTAGCCATAGAGTAATGCTTTAATTGCCCTTCATTTTGTTTTATTTCGATTAACCTGAGTGTGGTTAAGTAAGTCATGAAACACAGACATCCCATTTCACTTGCTCAACAATAGATTGACAGACAGCAATGCTAACAGCGCTTGTTGGTATTTCAAGACAAAAGCCACTTATGTATGCTGCACTTCTGAGGGACATGCCCCATGTTATTAGGTTTCTAACGAATAAGGTTGTGTGCTTCTGAACACTAGCTAGTTCGTGTTGTGAGTAGTTGAAATTCAATGGAGATATATGCACACAGGGACATGCCTGGATGGCTTGCATGCCTTGTGATGCAATAATAGTGGAATGTGCTACATCTTTCGAAATGCTTTGCTGTTCTGGAGGTGCCCAAGTGTCTGCTGCAAAATGCACAAGTCAATACTGTAGTCTGAGCATGAACCAAACCCACGTAGTCGAAACCACAGTTTCATTGCCTTACCAACATTTCTCAACAAGGCTGCAGTAAGCTACGGCATACCGAGCATACTGTGCAGTAAACTCTCTGGTAAAATATTTGAGCACTAGGAAGAACCATTTCCTACATTTGCACCATACTATTCGCAACTACATAAAATGCTCCGTGTGCTGGCAACACCAGCCGAAAAAACACGCATGGCTATGATTAACAAGGTCAATACAGACTCTCGATTAACAAGGTCAACACGACACACTCTGAAGTTTTTTGATTGTGGCCTCGGATCGCGTTGCTTTGTCGAAGGCGAAAGGGTGCTGGCCGTGGACCACCGCATTACCATCAGCATAAAAAATTTCACGGGCAAAACAGCGGAAATAGTGGCACTGGGCCTGCAAACATTAAGCCTCTTTGGCGAACTGCATCAGATTTACTTCAAGTGGAAGAACCTGTCTAGTGAGCCCGAGATTGAAGAAGGCAACTGCTCATATGTAGCAGTCCTCTCTGAAAGGTGCTATCACTTTTGCACTGCCTTGCTGCACTGCTACAGGCAAAGCCTTAACAGTTTTCGAGGTAACTCTGCGCTGCGATTCGTGTTGCTGATTGCATATCTGCTAATTCTCCCAAATTGCCTGGGAGACTCCCGAATTTCGAACTATTTCGAACTATCAGTGGATAACAGAACAGAGCTATGCCTGCAGTGTATTTTGAGATAAGTAAATTGTAGTTTCGATTGTAATAGGAGTGCTTTCTTTTTGTTTGCTGATCCATGTTATTAGGTTTCTAATGAATAAGGCCGTGTGCTTCTACAAACTAGCTAGTTTGTGTTGCTAGTAGTTGATATTCAATGCAGATATATACACACACACTCCAACGCTAAGCACCCGAATTTCGAACTACCGAATTTCGAACTAATCTCCCGATGGTACGAATACTATCTCGAATTTCCCGAAAAGTTACTGCCACAGCAGAGCAGCTTTTATTTTTAATCACGCACGTACGTCAGCTGTTGCAGTGCTGTGGAAGAGTACTAGCCTTTACACTTCTAGTTCATTGTAACCATATCATATATTACTGCTAAGTATATCTAGGAAGTGTAGTACCGCGCATCTGCGCGAAGGCCGGCAGCCGCGAGACCTGCTCACCAACCTACCCAAGAAGGCGACAACGTCTTTTTCTCCTGTCTACATTGCGGGGTACACTAGGCCTAAGCCACTTCCCTAGGCGTCAGTTCTATTTGCTACGTGGTTTTGGGAGTTGCGAGTTTCCCCGAGATCAGTCGGAAGGTCGATGGCGGTTTCTCAAAAGTAAAGAAGTACTTGCAAGTCTATCTGTACTCTCACACAACTGAGTTTCCGTGCTTTGTGACTCGGCAGAAAGATGGCAAGTATGAATTCTGTATACCACGAGTACCTGCCATGTGTTTCTCAAGGTGGCAAGGCCGCTTCACAGAAGCATGTTTGTGTTGCCGAAGGGCAGACATCATCAGAAGTTTCTTTAAGAGAGCTTCGAAAACAGTGCAATCAGCGCAGAATGCCAATCTGCAGGATTTCTTGTGGAACACAACTTTCTGCTGAGCGTAAGCAATTACGCACGACTATTGTTTCGAAAAATGCTCCCAAAGTACCAACTGCCATCAGTGGGAAAATGGCTGCAGATGCTGAAAACGCAATGCACGAAGGTCCGGGCTGAACCACTGCGTTTTCACAATCACAAAGCATTGACAGCATGTCGCAAATGTCTCAGCCACAGTAACGTGAGATATGAAAAAAAAATAATCCCCCTCCCCCCCCCCCCCTGCAGTCTCCCGAATTTTCCTCCTGCTAGGTTGGTAGGTATGCAATTGCATGTATCATATTGAGTTCAGTTGTCCCAACAAAAGCTGAATTTGCATGCCATTCAGTGGATAACAGAACAGAGCTATGCCTGCAGTGTATTTTGAGATAAGTAAATTGTAGTTTCGATTGTAATAGGAGTGCTTTCTTTTTGTTTGCTGATCCATGTTATTAGGTTTCTAATGAATAAGGCCGTGTGCTTCTACAAACTAGCTAGTTTGTGTTGCTAGTAGTTGATATTCAATGCAGATATATACACACACACTCCAACGCTAAGCACCCGAATTTCGAACTACCGAATTTCGAACTAATCTCCCGATGGTACGAATACTATCTCGAATTTCCCGAAAAGTTACTGCCACAGCAGAGCAGCTTTTATTTTTAATCACGCACGTACGTCAGCTGTTGCAGTGCTGTGGAAGAGCACTAGCCCCTACACTTCTAGTTCATTGTAACCATATCATATATTACTGCTAAGTATATCTAGGAAGTGTAGTACCACGCATCTGCGCGAAGGCCGGCAGCCGCGAGACCTGCTCACCAACCTACCCAAAGAAGGCGACAACGTCTTTTTCTCCTGTCTACATTGCGGGGTACACTAGGCCTAAGCCACTTCCCTAGGCGTCAGTTCTATTTGTTACGTGGTTTTGGGAGTTGCGAGTTTCCCCGAGATCAGTCGGAAGGTCGATGGCGGTTTCTCAAAAGTAAAGAAGTACTTGCAAGTCTATCTGTACTCTCACACAACTGAGTTTCCGTGCTTTGTGACTCGGCAGAAAGATGGCAAGTATGAATTCTGTATACCACGAGTACCTGCCATGTGTTTCTCAAGGTGGCAAGGCCGCTTCACAGAAGCATGTTTGTGTTGCCGAAGGGCAGACATCATCAGAAGTTTCTTTTAAGAGAGCTTCGAAAACAGTGCAATCAGCGCAGAATGCCAATCTGCAGGATTTCTTGTGGAACACAACTTTCTGCTGAGCGTAAGCAATTACGCACGACTATTGTTTCGAAAAATGCTCCCAAAGTACCAACTGCCATCAGTGGGAAAATGGCTGCAGATGCTGAAAACGCAATGCACGAAGGTCCGGGCTGAACCACTGCGTTTTCATAATCACAAAGCATTGACAGCATGTCGCAAATGTCTCAGCCACAGTAACGTGAGATATGAAAAAAAAATAATCCCCCCCCCCCCCCCCCCCCTGCAGTCTCCCGAATTTTCCTCCTGCTAGGTTGGTAGGTATGCAATTGCATGTATCATATTGAGTTCAGTTGTCCCAACAAAAGCTGAATTTGCATGCCATTCAGTGGATAACAGAACAGAGCTATGCCTGCAGTGTATTTTGAGATAAGTAAATTGTAGTTTCGATTGTAATAGGAGTGCTTTCTTTTTGTTTGCTGATCCATGTTATTAGGTTTCTAATGAATAAGGCCGTGTGCTTCTACAAACTAGCTAGTTTGTGTTGCTAGTAGTTGATATTCAATGCAGATATATACACACACACTCCAACGCTAAGCACCCGCGACCTTCCCATGTGCGTTTGTGTGCACATATATACACACATGCAAAATCAAATATGTTCGGGGGGAAGGATTACAGCAGTCTGATTTGAGAATGGGTAGCACTAGAACTTGCGCAGAAAACAAGCATATGCGAAAAATACACTCACACACATAACGCAACAAACTTCCTGAAGTGCTTGCGTATATAAACAAAACTTTACTCATACTTAGAGAAGCCTGAATATTGACAAGAATGTGCACACGCTAAATAATGGTGTACTCACCGAGGGGAAATAAGTTGTCGCGAGCAATTTGATAAGATCGAACTACCATAGCGTCCGTCACCTTCTTTCCAAAGCGCACGTTTCTGATCTGCACCGTTCTCAACTGCACATCACCTGCATCTTTTGGGAACTGATAAAACGATACCCTGGTATCTTTCCACTACAATACCTTGCATTGTGGCACACTGCAATGGTCTTTGGACATGACTTTTTTTTTTCAAGCTCCTTCATGCGGCATGGTAAAAATAAAGTAACTATGCAGCCGCTTTTCAACATGCCCAACATGCTAACCCTTCAAGGTTGACCGTGTTAGCACCGTTTCCAGGCACGGCTGCTAGGTGGTGAATGCTCAGTTGGAGTTGCAAATAGTACTACCTTGACACGTACACTGCGGTGTGCGTCACCGTTAGGTCGCAGGTCAGGGCCTGTGCTCCTCCTATGTGGTTGCAATGTTACAAGCATGTGTCTGCTTGCTCATACAATAACTTCACCAAAGATGCAGATGTATGATTCTTGTTGCAAAAGGTCATAAATAATCTGAAGAAATTTTTTCTGGTATTAGATGCTATGACCCACCGGTGGGTCACAGCACACCTGAAAGATATGCCAAGTGGCCCACCAGTGGTTCACACCGCACCTAAAATCAGACCTCAAAATATTTTGCCGCAACGAACATGCTAACTTACTCTTCAACTCTAATACACGCCTTCTTGCACCACTGGTGTATCACCCAGTGTCCGGCAAAGGTGCAAGTATAGTTGAGTGAAGGTGTATGGACAACTATCTTGCAGAAACACTTTGATCTACGCAAACTCCTGGTGATAGGAATAAAATCCCAGGCCATTTGGTGAACTAGTCTCACTAAGGGCAAAAAAGTATTGTCACAGTGGAAGAATTGCCACAATCAATGAGCTCTCACAAAGTAAATTATGCACATAAGGTTACTACTGCAGTAAGTCATACAATAAAAAAAAGCGACTGTGAACTAACCCAGAGGTATGCTTTAGGGACAGAAAGAAAAGCTACTGCGAGCTTTCATCTCCTGGATTACTTTTGCTGGTTAGCCTCTGCAAATATCCTTGGACACATATTCAAACCATAAATTATCATGTTTTTTTTTTTTATTCAGATACCCGAAAGGCCCAGAGGGCATTACATAGGGGATGGGGGGGGGGGGGGGGTTACAGTGAATGTTAGATCACGACACAAAATTGCACAGTAGCTCTAAACTGAGGTGTCATGGAGCCATTTAAAAGGTTCCGCAAATAAAAAAAACTTTACAGAAGAGCTCTGACCTACTCCCAGTTCCAGGTCCTGCTCCAGGAAAAGGCACTATTGCATGCCATCTACTCTGTTATAACCTTATTCATTCACAATCTGATTAATATTAATTTATAGATAAAAAGGTCTCCCTTTAATCTCGTTTTGAATTCACAATGTCAATTCACAATATGATTAATATTAACTTATCAGTAAAGAAGTCTCTGTTTAATATTGTTTGAAGTGATGACAGACTAAACAAGTAATAAATGGTAAAGTATTGCCTTACTGAAACTACTTCAGCTGATCTGTTACACTCTACAGCTATTTCAGGAAACTTTGCTTCTACGATTCTGATCAATCTCGACTTACAATCTGGATAATATTAACTTATCAGTAAAAAAGTCTGCTTAATCTAGTTTTTAGTAATGACATACTAAACAAGTAATAAATGGTAAAGTATTGCCTTACTGAAACTATTTCAGCTGCTCTGTTGAAGAACCCCACAGCTATTTCAGGAAACTTTGCTTCAACGATTCTGAAATAAAGATGCACTCACATGAAAAATGCCTGCATCACTAGCAGACAAACAAACAAAAAATGTCACTAAAGTCAACGGCAATTTACTACAAGCACGATATATGAATTTAGCATCCACGTGAAATATGGTCTTGTTAGAAGTAGTGCTGGCTAGGGCTAGCATATTACATGTGAAATTGATGTACTGCACTTGCAATGTTCCTTTGACAGACTCAGTAGTGCTAGCATTGCATGGTTTCAATGAGAATTAAACTCAACCAGGATAGTATTTGTCGGATATTTATTGGCTTCTTTTTTCCAATTCTGAGAGAGAAATATTCAAGTTGGTAAAGTGCCCATGCGACACTTAAATATGACTATGTGTGTGCTCCAAGTGAATACTCTCTAAATGTGCACATTTTCAAGAAGCTTCAAGCCATCTGGCTTAAACTTTTATGTCAATTTAACACGCAAGGTTATCTATATATGCACTACAATGATTGATTGATTTGTGCGGTTTAACGTCCCAAAATCACGCAATGATTATGAGAGACGCCGTAGTTGAGGGCTCCGGAAATTTTGACCACCTGGGGTTCTTTAACGTGCACCCAAATCTGAGCACACGGGTCTACAGCATTTCCGCCTCCATCGAAAATGCAGCCGCCGCAGCCGGGATTCGATCCCGCGACCTGCGGGTCAGCGGCCGAGTACCTTAGCCACTAGACCACCGCGACGGGGCGCACTACAACGAAAGAACTGTTATACATGATAGCAACAGTAAAGCAAATTACATAAGTTACAAACTACTCAAAGAGAATCACCAACTTCTCAATATCCTTCTAAATAAATGAGCATAAAACTTTATCAGCAATGCAATTGTCATAAACCAAGGCATCTGAAACAATGGCTAACTATGAAACATGTAGTTGACAAAAACAAAACCTATAGCCAAAATATTGGCTCTAGAAAGATTCCTTGTTCAACAATTTTCATAACAAATGCAGTCCAATAAAAATAACTCACTTTGCATAGTTATAAACTATGTGAAGTAAACATGGACAAGAATTCACACAAGACCAGCGTTGTTCCTGTGTGAATTTTTGTGTTTACTTTGTGCTGTTTTCAACTATGCGTATGTACGAACTGGCTTGCATTCACTTTTTACTATTCACTATTTTAACTCACTTTGCCCCTCGTTCCAAAACTAATGCAGCTGTGTCGGGACTTCTTGAGTCAATAAAATAACAAGATGCCTTGTCAATGAGATCAGCTGCAGCCTTCAGGTCACCCATATCCCTGCTGACCAATGCTGCTTGTTCCAACTGCCTACAATAGAACATAGATGGCTTGCATATACATCACTGAAACTGCAATATTGAAGTATCAGCTAAGTTTGCTAAGTCATGTTATCCCATGCAGGCTATTTTGTAGAGCATGCACAGAGCTGTTCCAACCACATCATTATCACACTGAAGCAGGTTAACTGCAACTTGTCATCAATGCAGCCATCGTTGAGAGCCAGTGCTTTCAGAAGCTTGTCTATGACGCGACATGCCAGCTGTTTATGTCAAGTACCCATAACTTTAAAATCCAGTGTTTTCATCTTGTTCTTGTAAATTAAACATCAAAACTAATGCATCATGAAGATTAAAACTGCTGCGTTTCTGATAGCACAAATGTATAAACTTTGTACATAGATCATCTCTTCAATGAACGGCAAAAAATCGACAGGACATGCAGACGGTGCTGCCCTCCCTGTTGTTTTTTGCGCTGTTCCTTAATAACTATCAAGACCAACTATCCGCACTTTTGTTGACTGCAGTCGTTCCTCTGCACGCGACTACATTCTGAAGTACAAAAGCGTCACCACTGTCGACGGCACCGTTAGTGGCAGCGTAATTTCACACATGCTTCTAAAGGTCCAATTACTCAACCGTTTTAAGTATTTCTCGACTAGTGCAGATATGTGTACAAGTCAGCGAGCCTTCGAGCGATGTTGACAGGCACGGTGATACACAGTATCATACGAATGCTTGATTCTCTATAACCGGCACTCAGTACGTATAAAAACCACGTGATATCTTAATTTTCCACAATGGAGCGGAAGGCTCAAAACAAACCACTCACTTGGCGCAGGCAAAGAATCTGAAAGAACGCAATTAAGGACGCTAACCGGCTTATGCAGCATGCGCTCGTACTGAATACAGAAACTAGCGACAAAATTCAAAGGATACGATCCATTCTTAAGGTAGCAGTCAGCTGAACGGAGATGGGCATCCTTGCACTGATCCAGGGCCTTCCCAGCTTTAAAACACGTTGCTAGTCGCAGTGCGACAAAAAAAAAAAAAGAAATTCCACATCAGCGAGTGAAACACGCGTCAGGCGTATGCACTGCGCAGGTTTTAATTCTATACCTGCTTTGCTGTACTCGTTTGCAGCGTTATCAAAATCTGGCTTCCATTTCAGCAGGCCCGTTTTCAAACTGGGAAGAAGTATATCGCGTTTAACGTGAGCACCGCGCACTGGTTACTTCCACTGACAGCGAAAGTAATTTTGCGATGACGAATGAACACGCATAGAATTACCATTTCTCAGCTTGCCGCAGTGCCTCTGTACCCTCAGTAACCTTGCGGCTTGCAGAAGAATTTACTGGTGTACCCATAACAAATACTAATTGGAAATAGGTTCCGGATACAAGCAAACGGTTGACACGGCCAGAGACGAGGTCAATACACACATTAAAACCACCCGTCGGCTGCAGCAGCACAGTGGCTAGAATAGGAAAGTGGGATGAGCGGCAAGCGGCGCCTGCGGAGCCCACTAAAGCCCCTGCGGAGGAGCCACAGAACACTACAGAGGAGCAGCGTGGGGGCGCGCGCAGTCGTTTAAGCAGGAAAATGCCAAGGAAAGGATCTATGATAATACTCGGGGTAGTTCTCTACTGTCTGAGGCCAGGACGGGAGTATTGCAAACCAAGACATATCGGGCCAAATACGAAGACACGGTATGCAGTGCGTGTGGAGAGGAAGAAGAAACTGCCGAACACTTGATAATGTTCTGTAAAGGGCTTCACCCTGTAGTTCAGGTTGATGGCGCAGAGTTTTTCAAAGCACTGGGGTTTAGGGAAAGTGATGGCAAAATAGACTTTAAGCGGGTAGAATTAACTAGAAGGAGGTTATTTGATTGGTGGCTAAAGGCAAGACACGAGTGAAAATTGAACGCTTCACTGCAAAGTACGAATCTTCAATCTCACTTTTTAAAAGGAAAAAAATAAATCTAGTTTTTGGCAGTGCCATTTTTTGGGCGTGTTGGTAAAGGGAGCTTGACGACATATTGAGCGCTAAGAGACAGGGACAGGAGAGAGTGGACACCACAATGCGCTAACTTCAACAATTTTTATTTTCAGGAAACGCGAACCTATAAATCCGTGTACAGTGGCGCCACCAGTCTATCCACTAGCCCAGCAGAAAAGCCCTTTCTCGATCTAACAAGTCAACTGACGGTGCACTTACACATGCGTCACCTTTGCGAAAGATAGCATGGGCTTCAATTATCTCTCGCACGTCTTTATCTTTATGCTTCGCCAGAACACTGCAGGATGCGTACAAGGGTGTGCAACCACATTCCACGCAATGTACTGACAAATGGCCATAATTATTCTTGTTTTTAACATTGAGCTTATGTTCACGAAGACGGTCATTAAGGCATCTACCCGTCTGACCTATACATATACCACCACAAGTCAGAGGAAGCCCATAAACTACCCCTTCAACACACGCCACAAAATGATCGCGATGCTTCTTGGAGCAACCGACAGCAGGCTTGCGGTGCGGGTCCGTCAAGCGACTTATCCTGCCAAGCTTTTGTGGTGCTGAGAATACTACTTTGATGCCCACTCGACTAGCTACTTTCTTCAGGTTATGAGCAGTTTTGTGCAGGTACGGCACTACTGCAACTCTGCTCCTACTCGCTGCCGGTTGGATGTCTGCTTCCCGAGGGCGACTGTCCAACCGGCATTTTTTAAGCAAACCCTCGACAACAGACACCTGTATCGACTCTGGGAAACCTGCTGCGGATAACCTCTCCGACTGACTCATGACACTTTTCTGAATTTTATGATGGCAAGATTTCCGCAATGCGTTCCCAAAACACAGATTGGCAATGCTTCTTTTTACTAGCTTCGAGTGAGCAGATTGGTATGGCAACAGGGGCTTATTAGCTCTGGGCTTGTATTCCCAACACGTGTGCTGCTGCTTGAATTCCATTTCAACGTCTAAAAACCGCAGCACGCTATCGGTTGGCTCTTCTACTGTAATAATGAGTGGGCTAAGGCAAGCAGAAAAAACAGCTTCGAGTTGACTTACTGCTACGTTTTCTTCACGCTCGAACAAGACAAGGTAATCGTCCACGTATCTCACAACTTTTGCCACCCTGTGCTGTGACAAGACATGTGCCAGATTTCTATCATGGTGGGCCAGAAAAATGTCACTCAGTACCGGCGCCAAACAGGAGCCGATACAGATGCCCTGCTTCTGAAGGAAAGTTTTTCCATTCCACGTGGCAAATGTCGAGCGGAGATATAAGCGAAGCAAGTCTAAAAAGCATTGAACCGAAATCTCGGCTGAGTTTTGAAACGCAACCACACCAAAGCTGTCAATACATTCTTCCACGCGCTCGATTAGTTCATTTTGAGGCAAAGAATAATATAAATCTTTTATGTCAAAGGAGCAGGCGAAAAAACCTTTGTCTGGGTTACTCTTCAGGAAATCTAATATTTCCCCGGAATGCTTAATCAAAAAGCTCTTAAACTTGGACCTAAGTTCGCCGTCGAGCCACGGTTGAGTGCGCCGGAACTTTTGAGCCTTGTGCGACGGATATCAAAGTGTGCCCCGGAAGGTGAAGCGAATCGATGTATATCGGAAGGGGTTGATGTGATCTCGCGGAAGAATATTGGGGCTTCACGGGTGCCTGTAAGCCGTGTTGTGTCGTTCTTGAAGCAGAAGCGACTGTGCGTTCTGCCAGCGGATAAGGAGGGCGGATTTGTTGTCCTAGGGGAAGGTGACTATGACGAGAGAGCCTGTTCTGCAGTTGCCAAAGTTTTTAATGAGTGCAATAATGTGTCTCTTAGGAAGGTAAAACTTGAAACAAAACGTCTCTGTAAAAATTTGGGCCTGAGTAGATTGTTTCACGATATTGACGCAGCCAAGAAAGATAGCCTTGATATTATGTTTAGCGCGAAAACGCACAAGCCTGAATGGCCATTGAGGGTAATAGTTTCGGAAATAGGGTCATGGCAGAAGAACCTAGCCCTTTTCTTGCAAGAAAGGCTCGGTATTCTTAAAATTGACGACCCCTTTTTGATTAAGCATTCCGGGGAAATATTAGATTTCCTGAAGAGTAACCCAGACAAAGGTTTTTTCGCCTGCTCCTTTGACATAAAAGATTTATATTATTCTTTGCCTCAAAATGAACTAATCGAGCGCGTGGAAGAATGTATTGACAGCTTTGGTGTGGTTGCGTTTCAAAACTCAGCCGAGATTTCGGTTCAATGCTTTTTAGACTTGCTTCGCTTATATCTCCGCTCGACATTTGCCACGTGGAATGGAAAAACTTTCCTTCAGAAGCAGGGCATCTGTATCGGCTCCTGTTTGGCGCCGGTACTGAGTGACATTTTTCTGGCCCACCATGATAGAAATCTGGCACATGTCTTGTCACAGCACAGGGTGGCAAAAGTTGTGAGATACGTGGACGATTACCTTGTCTTGTTCGAGCGTGAAGAAAACGTAGCAGTAAGTCAACTCGAAGCTGTTTTTTCTGCTTGCCTTAGCCCACTCATTATTACAGTAGAAGAGCCAACCGATAGCGTGCTGCGGTTTTTAGACGTTGAAATGGAATTCAAGCAGCAGCACACGTGTTGGGAATACAAGCCCAGAGCTAATAAGCCCCTGTTGCCATACCAATCTGCTCACTCGAAGCTAGTAAAAAGAAGCATTGCCAATCTGTGTTTTGGGAACGCATTGCGGAAATCTTGCCATCATAAAATTCAGAAAAGTGTCATGAGTCAGTCGGAGAGGTTATCCGCAGCAGGTTTCCCAGAGTCGATACAGGTGTCTGTTGTCGAGGGTTTGCTTAAAAAATGCCGGTTGGACAGTCGCCCTCGGGAAGCAGACATCCAACCGGCAGCGAGTAGGAGCAGAGTTGCAGTAGTGCCGTACCTGCACAAAACTGCTCATAACCTGAAGAAAGTAGCTAGTCGAGTGGGCATCAAAGTAGTATTCTCAGCACCACAAAAGCTTGGCAGGATAAGTCGCTTGACGGACCCGCACCGCAAGCCTGCTGTCGGTTGCTCCAAGAAGCATCGCGATCATTTTGTGGCGTGTGTTGAAGGGGTAGTTTATGGGCTTCCTCTGACTTGTGGTGGTATATGTATAGGTCAGACGGGTAGATGCCTTAATGACCGTCTTCGTGAACATAAGCTCAATGTTAAAAACAAGAATAATTATGGCCATTTGTCAGTACATTGCGTGGAATGTGGTTGCACACCCTTGTACGCATCCTGCAGTGTTCTGGCGAAGCATAAAGATAAAGACGTGCGAGAGATAATTGAAGCCCATGCTATCTTTCGCAAAGGTGACGCATGTGTAAGTGCACCGTCAGTTGACTTGTTAGATCGAGAAAGGGTTTTTCTGCTGGGCTAGTGGATAGACTGGTGGCGCCACTGTACACGGATTTATAGGTTCGCGTTTCCTGAAAATAAAAATTGTTGAAGTTAGCGCATTGTGGTGTCCACTCTCTCCTGTCCCTGTCTCTTAGCGCTCAATATGTCGTCAAGCTAGTTTTTGGTTCATTAAGTATTACGGCTTGGTGGCGCAAGCCACCGCCCGATCTAAAGGGTGTTCTGTGGTACAGCCATATCCGTCCATCCAACCATCAACGTGGGAGGTAGAAAGGCTGCAGTCACGGAGGAAGGAAAGGTGGCTCCACTCAACGATAGATTACTCACTGATGTCACATATAATGTATGACAAGCTCAGGGGAATGCACATAGATGAAGGTGGCTCCAGAAGTCTGGGTAGTGATCACTAACGTATCAAGCTAAGTTTTGGAAAAGCAGCGAAAGTGGGAAGGAGACAAGATCAGCAACTACAGGAAGATTTTCATTCAGAAAGGCAAATAGAAATCGCTACTAAACAAATTGAGAAAGTAATCACTGAAGATAATAAAACTGTGTGGACATACACAAATCTAACTAGACTGTTTGGGCTAGAGCTTGCTAAAGCACGTGACGAGTCACCACAGAAAAGAAGACACAAGCCCAAGAGTTGGTGGGATGAGGAAGTTAAGAGAGCCAAAGCAAAACGTCAGGAAGCCTCTAGGGAACACAGACGTGCTAAGCAACGGGGTGAACCGACAGATGATGTTGAAAGAAAATGGGAAATCTTTCTCAGCTCTAGAAGGGAAGCATCCCTCCTGATCAATGAAAAGATTAGAAGAAAGGGTGCTCAGTGGCTGGCAGAAGTACACACAAAGGATAGAAAGGCAGGTGCGAAATTTTGGAACCATCTAAACTCCCTAAGAAATGAAACAAACCTAGAGCAGAGGTTTATAACTACAGCTCAAGGTGCTAGGCTAGAAGGGGATGAAGCTATTGAATATATAAGAACAAGGGTGACAGAAAATTTTCAACAAAGAAGTGCCTGATGCACCACAATAAACAGGGATGGATCAAGTAGCACAATCACTCCATTTTCACAACGAGAGTGGGAAAGGGCTGAGAAGAGGGTTCAGTAGTACATCAACAGACC